AGAATAGGCTGCATCCCCCATGATGAACATCAACATGTCCTCATCCTTGATCCTTATGGTGTGGTGGGAGAAAAAAATGCCAGTGTGCAACTTTTGATGCAGTTGTGTAATATGCGGGCATCATGCACCTGCACATCCAACATTGATGTTTGTGAACCTGTCGCAGTGGTCCACAACAGCCTGCAGAACCATGGAAAAGTTCCCCTTCCGTCTGAGAAAATTTGAGGCCCAGTGGTCGGGGGCCTGGATGGGGATATGGGTTTTGTCAATGCCCCCCCCCTGCAGTTGGGGAAGCCCATGGCGGCAAAGCCAGTGACAATGGAGTCCATGTCATCCAGGATGATGACCCTGCACAGCAGGATGGTGTTGATGGCCCTTGCCACATGGAGAAGAAGACAGGGAATTACAAGGTTGCCAGAGCCCTTGGGAGGTCCAACTCCCCTTCCCCCCACACACCAGGCCCAACCCTAACTAACCCCATCCCCTGGCATGGCTTTGTGAAGCCCTCCTGGGGAGGGAGCTTCTACCATCACCACCCCTTCCCAAGGGAATCCCATTGCAGCAATTCACCACTCTCCTAATAACATAGTAAGAGAGTCAGACCTGCATGACCCCGAACCTGACAGTTGATTTCCCCATGCCAAACTGGTTCCCAATGGAACAGTAACTCTCTAGCGTGGTAAGCTTCCAAATAGATATGGCCATGCACTTGGGCCTGGGGATGGTGAGTCTCTTGTGGATGTCCCATCACCTGAGTCCAGGGGCGAGCCACTCGCAGAGCTCCAGGAAGGTATCTATCTGCATGTGGAAATTCTGGAACCAGTGCTGGTTGTTCCACCTCTCCATGATGAGCCGGTCCTACCAGTTGGAACTGGTGTCCAGGCACCAGAAGTGGCAGTGCACGGAGGTAGGGAGGAGCTGTGCTGCCTGAGCAGCACATGGAAAGAGGTGAGGATGTGCCCCACAGGGAGCTGCAGATCCTGGTTCTGTAGTGCCAGGATGGCAGCATAAAGTCCAGGATCTGGAGATTCCTTTGCAGCAGATCCAGTTCCTTGGCAGAAGTGCTGTGGTGTCTGCAAGGGCAACCAGAGCATGCAGTGGAATGGGTTTGCTGTCTATCAACGAGGTAGGCAAAGGAGAGGCACCCGGGACACAGCTGTACAGGGGGTCCCTTTAGGCACGAGCCTCAGACAGCCTCATGCAGCAGCTACAGGAAGTGAGCGCTGTCCTGATGCCCTGTCCAATGTGCTTTGGGGAATGGGGTGTCTTAAATGCAATCCAATTAGTGTGGATGCTCTATTTTGAAATAGCTCTGCGCTATTGCAATGGGCATTTGCAGTGTAGATGAGCTATTTTGAAATAAGCTATTTCAGAGTTTTTATTCTAAAATAGCTTATTCTGAAATAATGCTGCTGTGTAGACATACCCTGAGAGAGCTTATAATGCAATTAGGCAGTTACAGTATTTTGGATGTCGATAGAGGAACTATTACTAAAATTGGTCTGATAATTACTGATTTGGGTGTGAGCAGCCATGGGTTCGTTATCATCCAGCGCAGAGATTTCTCACCAGGAAGTGCTTTTCTCTTTTTGGTATCCTATAGTTCAGTGCAGTTCTTGCCTTGGAAGTGCTGATCTCCATTCTGTATGCTAATGTAGATGGTTGGCTGTTCTATCTTTGATGTAGATGAGTCTAGGGGTATTTCTTTAATTCTATCACCCTTATCTGAAGAGGTTTAGGTGTGTCTTCCTCTGGCTTTTCATTGCTTTGATTTGGTTCATGCAGAGGCGTGTGTGTGTGTGTGTGTGTATGTGAGTGTGTGTGTGTTTTCTCCATGAGTATCACGCTCTGGTTCCCCAAGAACACAGAGCTGGTAGGCAACAATTGTACTCTTAGAATTGAACTGTTATATTGAAATGTTTTCCCTTGTTTCATTTTTTTAAGATTGTCATACCCTAAAGCAAGAATTGTTTTTTGCTAGTAGATTGTACCCTTGTGCCTTCATCGCTTATGTTTCAGTCTATATTGAGTGGATTATCCATTGTTAAATGATTGATAAAAATTGTTAAATAAGGCAAACACTATACATGCTGTAGTGTAATGAGGCCTATCAAGCAGGAGGAATACTTCTCATCATGATATTAAAATTAAATGTAGCATTTTTAAAATTCTTGACATAAATAAAGAAGGTATTTATCTGGATCAGTGCTTTTTCTATAAGCCCAATGTTCTGTATAAGTCACTGTGATACCATCTATTTTATTTTGAGGCAATACAGACAGTTTCCCTCCCTCAAGGATGTTTTCTGAACTTGTTATCATTAATCCAAACAATGTCCAGAATTTGTAATGCTTTTTCTATTTAGGAGTGTGACCACCGTTCAAGGTATCCCAGCTATGATGCCTTTTCAGAGTACAATAACTTGTGCTGAGTGTGGATATGAAGAGTAATATACAGCATTATTTTTGAAGATATCAGCAAGATCTAATTTCAAAGGTCAACATAAGTGCTGTATTCAGAGAACAGGAGAGCATACCCATCTTGTACAGCACAACACCCTCATTTGCAGATGCACTCTGGGTAATTACACAGGAAAATGTGTGTTATGAAGATAATTAAGGCTGGGAAAAAAGGATAATTGCACTTGTAAAATTAATATTTCTACTAATAAGTCTTTCAACAGACTTAAGGCAGCATTTGGTTGACCAGCTGCTACTGGTAAATCCTGGCCTTTGTAATGTATTTAAATAAATGAAGCAATCCCTTAAAGCTCATAAGGCACATCTAGACTACGTTTTACTTTTGAAAGAAGATATGCAAATTCAGAGGGAATTTGCATATCTTCTTCCAATCACTTTTTTGAATGAGTTTTTTTCAAAAAAGCCAGCAGTCTAGATGTGGTTTTTTTGGAAAAAAAACAAACAAACAAAAAAACCCAACCAACCAAAAAAAAAACCCCACCCCTTTTTTCGAAAGAACTTGTAATCCTGGATTTTTGAGGAAGAAGGTTCTTTAAAAAAAAGTGTTTTTTTTTCAAAAGACCCTCATCTAGACTGCTTGCTTTCTTGAAAAAAACTCTTTCAACTAAGCGATCAGAAGAAGATATGCAAATTCCCACTGAATTTGCATAGCTTCTTTCTAAAGTAAAACGTAGTCTAGACATGCCCATATTGAATGAGACTCATCCTAGAAGTCATGTCATGTCCCCCTTAGCTGGAAGGCTCCCATCTTTTGTTCATGGTCCAGCAGGCTCAGTCGTATAGTGCTTTTGCTCTTGTTTTTCTTCATTTTCTTAAGTGTTACTCTGACCTTTCTTTTGGTTTGTACATACATACAATTGTGTATTTTAATGCACATGCTGTTTTCTGCTTCATGTGCTAACTATGCTTCACATGATTGACTTTGTAGGTAACCTTCTCATGGACTTGGGTCGAATGGATCTCAAGTAGGATAAATGTGTGTTGGCTTCCTTCCATCAGTTTCAGGGACTTTCAGTGTATTTTTATAGTTTGGCATATGAAAAAAACCTAACAATACATATTTGGTAGCAACAATTGAATCAGAATAAACATTTATAAATATATTTTATGTATAGTCTGGTAAAATTTAATGTTTCCTAAGAAAATTACTAAAATATTTTTCTTTTATTCATATTAAAAGGATGATTTTCCTTATTCTAGGCATAAAAATGAAATATCCTCTATTTTTTCCTGGGAGAATATAAAGCTTTTTTCTTATATATTCAATATCATTTCTGTGACAATAATAAATTTATTTTTATGGTATGGGGCCTCTTATACTTCAGACACCTTAGGGCCTCACTATGTCATAATCCAACACGGATGGCTCTGTACAGGTGTATGTTCATAATACGCTAGTGTTTTCCGAAGTACTGGATGATATCACAGGCCAAAAAGCTGCAGGTTATGTTAAATGGCAGGCAATGTTTCTGTTGGTTTATGGACAGCAATCTTTAGTTCTGCTACTGTGATCCAAAGTACTTATTGTCAATAGAGCGGGCAGAGGAATAAGAGCCATGCAGTTTGATTAAGCCAATGGTCCACAAACTGTTGGGGGTACCCTTCTACAGTGATGTGGAGGAGTTCAAAGTGGGATGCATGGCAGGGTATGATGAGGGAGTGCCATCCAGCCCTGCTCTGCCCCATGCCACAGATATGCTCTGCCCCCACTTTGACCTCGCATCCAAGTTCCAGCTGCAGTTCCACTCTCTCACCTGCTCCATCTCCAGCCCAGTTTAGGCTCCATTCTTCCCCCTGCTCTATCTCAACCCAACTCTGCCCTTATTCCCTCTGTAACTTCAGGCCAGCTCTGCCCTAGCCCCAGCTTCTCTCCCAACTCCAGTTCTGCCCCTAACTCTGTCTTCTGTCCAGGATCCTCTGCTGAGTCAACTGTGCTGTAATGTAGGGAGTCATGGACAGATTCCATTACTGGTAAGGAGAGGCATGGCAGGAAAAATTTGGGCAGCACTTGATTAAGTGGTTGATTAGTAGACAACCAGGACAAACAATAATGACTGTTTCAAAGTGTTAATTCTTGTCCTTCCTACCTCTGATACAACAGTTCTCCTATAATGATACAAACTTCTCTCCGCTCAGTAATACAGGCTATCCAAACAATGTTCAAACCTCTGTTTCTGCAGATTTAAAGATATTTTTCAGAGTTATGCAACATTAAAATGAGTGAATCTTATTGTGGTCACTGGTTTTACACAACACAAACTTTTGAAAAGAACTGTGGAGCTGCCCTTCCCTAACATCTATATTTTATGTTGTTTATGAACATGTGAGCCAAAGTACCTCTTTATTCTTTTGATATAATTTGTTACATTTATGTAAAAAGGTGTTGGCATTAGCTATGAAGTATGAATGTGTATCAGTGCAGTCTTGATTTTGGATTAAACGTTAGATGTTTTTTCTTCTCATGAAAGGTGCCAGATTGACATCACAGGAAATTAATTGAAGTCTTTTCTTGTTTCACAGAACAGGCGCCTATCCTGATAGCAGAGAAACTAAACCATTTTCATCTTCAGAGAAGTTCTGAGTCAATCCAGCCAATAAGGGTATCAGTGAGAGTGATTTTCTGTTTTGATCTAATATTGTTCTTGAAACTTTTAAAAATGTTTTTAGATGATTGTTTTAATAATATATGCCTTGGTGTGTTCACATGTATCCTTTGCACAAGTTTTATATATAGTGAGAGATATCGTTTTTAATGTTTTGAGACAAATTATCTGACCATAGACCCAAGAAATCTTGCAAAGTACAGTGTATATGTGCCCAGAGTATCTGTGGATAGTTTTTGTAAGGTATACCAAAGTTATGATCTTTGAAATATTGCAGCCTCAGAATCATATGATTCCTATCACACAGTGCCCTGGCAAAGTACCCTTGCAAAGGAAGTAGATAGGCTATCATTCCTATTAAAATCAGGGATGTAAATGACAATGATAATTGCAGAAAATAACACTAGTTCTCATCATGGGCTGTGTTGGAACCTCTTTGCCCTGTTCCCCCCCATGCTGAAACTCCAAAGCAGAAGGGTCTACCCAGTGCAATGCAGCACTGACGTAATGGCTCTTTTGCTCCTGCCCATGCCCCATGGCTTCATAAAAGGTGTGACTGTTGCAAAGGGTATATGGTCATGGCTTTGCTGCATAGTGGTAGCCACAGCTGTTTGATTGGCCACATGGGACCTTTGATAGCTATTGTATCACTGTTCAGGGTGCTCTGATTCTGCATAGTGACTCTAAATGTGTGGGGCATATTGCTACTTATTGCCCTGCTCACCCTGCCTGTGTTGCACAGGGTGGTTCTTAGTTGCTGCCAAGGATAAAGACCAGCATCTTCTGCTCCAGGCCCCATAAATAAGGCCACTAATAATGGGCTTACAAATTGTTATACAGATTTTCACTTCGCTCAAGCAAAAGAGACTTTGAAATAAAATCCAACAGGTTTTTCTAGTTGATTTTTATTTAATGGAGGCCCTTTGTAGAGGGCCTCAGGGCAGGCTAGCTCTAGCTATTTATCTTTATACTGGGTAGTTTATATATTTTAAGAAAATGAAAAATGGTAGCTTTAAAAAAACTCATTATGGTAATTGATTATTACAGAAAAACCTTGGAAACTTTATGAATGAGAGCCATAGTCTCAGAATGCCTTAGCTTTAAACCAGACCTGTAAATAGAAGAATCCATAAGCATTTATCACATTAAGAGAAGCTTGGTCAGTAATTTCAGAAGAAAATTCTGGAATCACTGTGATGTCCTATGTTAAAATGGTGCACTGTAGTGTCTTTCCCTTACCATAGGAAGATTATTAATTTACTCAATTGAGTGGAGGACCACCTACATTGTTATAAACTGTTTAATAAGTAGTGCTGGACCATTTCTCTGGGAAGGGTGACTGTGAATCTTAAACTGGAGAGTCACCAAGAGTGAGAGTCAGGAAGTTATTATTTATCAGACTCGAATTCTGGAATTCATTCCAGGGCTTGAGTTATCTCCTGTCCTGCTAGCTCTGCTGCTTACTTTCTCAGCCTGTCTCCAACCTTGAGTTCTTAGCCTTGAAACATGTGTTGCCATTTTATCCCCTATGATTCAGATGTGGCTTATCCTCTCTCTTTCCTGACAGACTGCAACCTTAGCTCTCTGGGCAAATGAGTGCTCTTGCCTAACACCAGCCCTTTTTCTAATTTGATATTTATTTGATATTTATATTTATTTATTAGAAGATCTACTTGGCATTGCTTGGGCCCTTAACTCAATTAATTTTTGTTTTTCTTCATTTAAATCATTTCTCTGGGGTGGGGCTGGGAACAAGGGGTTCAGAATTCAGGCTGCCCCAGGGAGAGAGGTCAGCCCCAGTCCTCTCACCGCAGCTGCTTGGGGCCAGGTGAGAAGTGCCTCTGTATGGCCACTGCAGCTGCAGCAGGCATAGCCAGGGGAGAAGTGCATGTCCGCTGGTTAGGGAACAGACAGACACACAAACAAACTCTCTCAAATATATAGTAAATAGCTCCCCCTTTCTCTACCTCTGCCCCCTGCTGACCCAATGGGGTTATAACTGTGCCAGTCCTCATCTCTGCCCATCTCTGGCCCCTTGCTGCTCCCTTATTGTCATTATACAGTATAACTGTCTCTGCTCTCCATCCCATATCCCCTGCTGCCCCCATGTGGTCATTATATAGCACAGCCCTCTCTTTCTGTTTTATGAGAAACAATCACATTCTAGGCACATTCTATTTTCCTGGCACAATCAAACCCTGACCTTACTTTAAGTTAGGAGAAGAGGAAGCTGCATACCAAATTTGGTGGTGCAAACTCTTACCATTTAGGAGGAGTTCTTGAACAAACAAACAGACAGACAAACTCTCTCATAAATATCGTAGATATAAAAAACCACCACAGCTTGGAGATTTTGATATAAAACCTGCGTTAAATTATGGTTAATTTCACTATATGTGGTTCATTTGCCTAATAAAAGCCCCAAACATTAAAATCAATGGAAATCATAAATGAATGGTACATAGGGAATGCTGACAGCAATAGATGCACCACCATCTGGAACACAGAGGAGAACATGGCTGCTGTGCAATCTTTTAGCATCATGCAGCATATGCTCCCCCACCCAGCATCCTGCTTCCTTTGGAGAGGCTATGGCTAGCCTCTAACGGTACTGCCAATATTTATTCAACTAGAAATGAGCCTCAAAGAAACCCAACATCACACCACCTGCCAACTATGGGAAAGTTCTGATCTGAATCCAAGCTTCATGGCTGATCCCTGTTTTGTAAAGGGTTGAATGAAAACTTTGTGTCTGAACACCCTGGCCCCTGAAAAATGGGATCTTGATCTAGAGCTGAATTTCATGGCTCAGTTTCATTTCTAGTCTAAACAAGGGCTTGCATTTCGTTTTCTCAGCAGGTTTAAATAGAAGCGGAAGCTTGATTGTCTGGGGCTAAACTGTTACCAAACACAAAAAGCAGAGCTACTTGCAAAGGGGGTACAAAAAAGAGTCTCATACTAATGGGGCATGTAACGGTGAAACTTTTGTTTGCAGATGCAGAACATTACAGAAGAGGTATGCACAGTGGTTTGTCATGGAGCCTTTCTGGACTGTCTTCTTTTTTCTTAATTTTAAGAATGTTTCACTGAGCCAGTTCTTGTGATTTTAGCGTGAGCCTCATGATGTTTGGTGTTTTTTCTTAAAGCTCTAACTCCAGAGTCATCAATGCCAGAGAATTTCAGCTTTCATTATTGCATTTTAGTCTAGTATTTATGCTTCCAGTGAAGATATGTGAAAATGATACATGAAAACTTTAATATGAATATTAAAGGTTGAGAAAATCAAAGGTAAATAAAGGAACTCAAAATATCTTTTTAAAGCCAAAGTCATGATTTTAAGGGGCTTGTTTTACGATTTTTGAGCTGATAGGGTGGACACAACTGCTGTTTCCTATTACTTTGAATTAATGTTATTGTCATCACTTCACTGCCAGAATTATTTACTTTCCATACACAATCTATAACGTTTTAGCATGAACATTTATTATAGATGAAGAGTAAACAACAAAACAGGAGTCTCCATGAAACAATTTATGTCTCCTCTAGACACAGACTAATAACAGTTAGGAGATGTCTGCATTGCAATCAGAGGTGTGACTGCAGGTCAGGTCAGCATACCTGACAGGCTTGGGCCTTTTGGGGTGCCACCTAAGGAGCAAGGTCACTGAATCATCCTAACCTGCCAGCCTGGGTCCTTCCTTACCCCTCAGAAGCCTCTTCCAGACAAAGCATACAGACAGGGTTATATCCAGCTGCAGAGAGAGAAAAAGATCGGCCCTGGAAAGATTTGGTTTTAAGGGTTTGCTCTAGCACTTTGTTGTCCACTCCCATTAAAAGGTATAAACCTAAAGGTTTTATGAAAATTGCCTTTTCCCTCAATGTAGAGGAAGATATGCACAACTTCTTGCTCCCTCATAAGAAATTACACAAACTGGATTATATTATAAACAAGAAATAAGTGTATTAACTTGAGAAGGTAGATAATAAGCAAATAAAACAAAGCACACAAACTAAGCCTGATTCACTGAAGAAATTGGTTACAAATGTAATATATCGTCTTAGAGATAGTCTTAGATAGATTCCTTCACAAGCCAGATACCTTTCCAGCCTGGTTCAAAGCAGTTCTTCTCCCTTGTCCCATCCTCCTCTCCATTCCAATCCTTTTATTTCCAAGCATTGTCAAGTAATTCCCCAAGTAGGGAAGGAGAGAATAAATAAACTGAAGATTATTTTCCTCCCCCATGTTATAACAGATTTCCATAAGGCAGGAATCCTTTTTTGGACTCCCCCACCTCCCAATAGAAAAGTTCAGCAGTCCAAAATGGAGTTTAGTATCAGGTGACCCAGTCACCTGACTCTATAGTATAACAGTGTCCATGAGTCAGGGACAGTGTCTCCAAATCTTTTCACAGTCCATTGTCCTCGCTGATGGGCCATCATCCCTATCTGGCTTTTCCATTTTTATACCTGAAAGAGTAGCATTGGGTATCACCCAAAGTATCATAGTTAAAATACAGAGACAGTCAATGCTTCTAATTTCAAATACAAAAAAAGAGAGATGTATACAAATAGGATAACTGAAGTCAGTAAATCATAAGCTTTCCAAGGATACCTTTCATCAAGTACATCTCAGTTATGTCATATTTATAAGCACATTTTCTGAAACAGTATGGAGTGTAATGCCACAAGTCTTATACTAGCATTAATTTAATTAGCATGATTAAAAATAGAAATGTAGAAGCAGTAGCCCAAGCTTCAGCATGGGCTAACAACAGGATTATGTACTGACAGTTCCAGACATGCTGGTAGAGTCCATACTGAATAGGATGATCTCTTGTGTATCCCTACAAACAGGATATTCTAGTACTTCCAAGAATGGCATGGACCCTTTGGCTCCTGCATGGCCCCATCCCTGGCATCTCTCATGGGAGGTCATGCCACAGGGGGACAGTATTTTGAAGAACATGCTGCCCAACTACTGAGATTTTGAATGAATG